AAATCCAGGCACACCAGACAGTTGCTGTTTCTCAGATAACTAAAAATGTCTAGAGGGTAGAACATTTCCCTAACACCCTTAGTTTGATCTCTTCTGACTTAGAAATATTTACTTGGTAACAATCTGTCTCAGCCTCTTTTCAGGGGAGGCTTTTAAGCTCTTACTCTGTGGCAAAAGACACGGCATTAAAAATGTAAATGAAGTTTATTTAGAAGGGCAAATGTGGTAACTAGTGTCCTTTCAGTGACTTCACAGTGACTCATTCTAGACTTTCAAAAAACACATCACTAACATCACATACCACTATTGATAAGAGTAAAAAAAAGTTTCCTGTAATTTGAAAAGATGGAAACAATTTCTTTACTCAACAGTCGGTACTTGGAAAAGTTATTAAACAGAGGTCATAGAAAGGCTTCATTCTAACGAAATAGTGCTAAAAGTTTAAACTGTGGGGGAGAGAATCATGGATTTCCTTTACAGTTATTCTCAAAGCAGTTTTGACTTGGTTAGAGATAGAGTAAATGTGACAAAATTCTCTGAATCTGCCAGGAAACACATCGGGAGGAAGTGATGTTACCCCCTCTGTCCAGATCAACCTCATGAAGAATGCATTCTTATAGATAGTTTTTCCTTTAAGATTACTCAGACCTAAAAACAGTTTCCTATATTAGCAGTGTGGTCTGTACCTCCTCAACCGAAACCAGCCATGGATAATTTTAAGAGGATGCTACAAGTCACCAGCCTGAATAAAAATGGAGGGAGAGGGAGTAAGCTGCAGAATGGAGACTGCAGCTGACCCAGCTCTGCTTCCTCAGTCTGCCTACACTTTCACTCGCCTAGTGCTCCTTACCCTTGCCAGCTGATTGACTCTAGCTTGTAACTGATTTAGCCTTGCCTGATTTTCTTTAAAGCCTCTTTCTCTCATTTAGTCTGTCCTTCCTTCAACTATTGCAGGGAAAGTTTGGTTTTTGTTTTTGTTTTTTTTTTTTTTTTTTTTTTTAAATCAACAAAACCAAAACAACACAACACCAAGGGACCAACAGGACTGCCCATGCGCAATCAGAAGGAACACTTGCTATTAGGCCAGAATTGTAGTGAACCTTGGTAGACTTTCTTAGCAGCTTTAGGAAGGCACACACAAGCTAAAAGCAATAGGGTTTTAAAGGCTTATATCAAGAAGTTAAAAGCATTTGGTTGTTGCAGTTGGAATCTATCAGACCAGTTCAGCTGAAAACAAGAAAGTAATTCCCTGAGGAAACAAACCTGAGGTTTTGCTGATTGACTATAGACATAAAGGGAGACAATATCCATTCCTTCGTCCTGGCTCTCTGTATCTTATAAAAGGATTGGAAAAAAGGAGTCAGAGAGTGCATGTAGCTTGGCCAAAACAAGTCATCGTTTTAGGATGTGAACTTCTAACCTTTGTGAGAAAGCAGAACATATAGTGAAGAGAACTGCTTCTCCCCTGTACTGTGGAGGTACAAAAAAAATAGCAGTCCAGCCACCCAAAATTCATCCTTCATTTGTTAATAATTTGCTTAAGTGTCCTGCTCAAAGCCCAGAAGCCTGCTAAATACTTCCAAGTTTTATAAGCTGAACTGGCAAGTGAGAGAAAAATAAGAAAAGGATAGAGGAGAAAAAGGCTGATGAAGTAAACCTTTGTTTATACATAACTTCAGGGGTTTTCTTTGTTTTCTTTTTTCTGGGGCTTAGGTATATGCAACTTAAGTTAAACTTCAGTTACTCTTCAATTTTATGTTCTTTTTGCTAAGGAACAGCTCATACATTTCTTTTAAGAATATCCACTATGTATTGGAATATTCTTTGCACTTCAATATGCTTACACAAAAACTTAGCATCAGGAACTGAATGCTTGACCAAGATAAGATGACATTCAGAATATATAAAAAAATAAGTTCTTAACATCATAATAAACTGACACCTTGCTGCAGAATTACACCTACTATTAAATGATAAGAGGTCTATCTCCTTCTCCGTCTCTGTCATTATTACTAACCAAAACGAAGAGTGACCCAGAAACTGTGATTTAAATCTAGCATTTGTGTGTGTAACGTCAGATCAGTTCTTATGTGGGAGTAGTGATACGCAGCATTACAAATTTAACACCAGTGTTTTGCACCTACACGAACATTTAAAAGAAAACCACACAATTTAGGTTAAGCATGGCTATGGACCATGTGGACCTGGCACTGAATCCCTAGAGCTTCTTAGAAAAGCACCCTCCCGCTCAAAAAAAAGGAAGGTTATGTGGTAAGTTAACTTCCTCCCTTCATCTTTATCAGCTTTGAAACAATATGACAAGCAGACCTATTTGTGATGCTCCATGTTAAAAGCACAATTACTTTGAGTCTGACACCTATGCCCCAAGACTGGCTAAATGTATTTATGGTATTTAATATTGCATTTCAAGTCATTAAGGCGAATTCAGATTAAAAGGCCCTCTGCTCCCCACATCAGGTCACAGCAATTCCAGTGACAAACTGAATAAAAGAGAATGGGAGGCAGCTCTTTCTCCATTGAGGAAGAGGTTATCTAGATTTTCAGTTTCCTTAAAAAGCAGCTTTTGTTTAATCTCTATTATTAGTTGCATGTTTTATAGTTTGCAAGTTTTGGGAGTTAAGGCTTTCCAGCTCCATTATTACTTTTTTTAGCACAGGTGTTTTGAAGGCCTTTGAGCATGAGTACCCAAAAAGGAAGTTTTGATCATAAGTTTCATATTTGCTGGCAAAACACACTGGTCAAAAATATCTATTTGCTTACAGAATCTTACAAAAAAAAAAAGTCACAGCCCAATAAAAGCATTTCAAGTCACATCTAGAATGTAAAAAAATAAGTAAATTGACATTAGAGGAACTTATTTCTAGTACATCACTTTTGTTTTAAATGTCTTTATACAGTTAATACTCAAACCTCATATTTCACAACTGAAGAAGTTGTATTTCAGGCTAGTATTAAGTTTGAGATCAATAGCTCACCAAAAGCCTAGCAGGGCAAACTCGTTAAATTAGAAACATGAACCGCAGCCACAGAATGACTTCAGACTGTATACAAAGAAAGCACAGCCAGTCTCATTTGTGGAGAAAATCAAGAATCTTACTAAGAAACAACAGATAAGAAATCATTAACAGGTGATCATCGAAGAACACCAAAAAGACTGGAACTTGAAGTGCACTTTAGTAGGAAACAACAAAAAAAAGCCACTCAGAATATGAGAAAAACAGGAAAACATAACTAAAGAATGCATCGTGCAAAGTAGTAATTGTGAAACGGAAGGAGAAATTATGTGGATAAACAACCGAACATGAGACTGGGCAGTATCATGACAAAACAGGGATAGTGTAATCTCTGGATGTATTAGCCAGTCATGAAATACATGACATTACTGCACTTTATTTCTTTACCTGTCTTATAACAAGATATTATAAAAATCTGCATGCAATTCTGGCACCCATAGTTTAAGCAGAAACATGGAAAGAAAATAGAGCACTATAAAATGATTGAGCACTAATGATTTGATCAGTCAAACAACAGAAAACCAAGTCAGATGTATTTACATTATAAAATGAACACAACTACTTGGGCAACAGCTATCAGAAAAAACAACTGATGGGATCCACCATTTCTTCATTTCATAAAACCAAGACTGGAGTACTTTTTGTGAGACCCCTATCAGTCTAACAATGGAAGCAGGATGGCATTTAAAGTCTGTGCTAAAGTGAAAATAATGCAAAATGAGTACTGGCTCCTCACCTACATAATCACATTGTTTGAAGTAACCTTTAAACGTTTGGGGGTTTTTTCAGTAAAATACTAGCACACGAGCAGAAGTTTGACCTAAACTCAGCTATTCTCTTGTTATCTTACTAGATGATAAATGATTCATATGCAATGTTTACTGTACTTATCTAAGTATTTCTAATGTACTGATCACAGCATTATCTAAGCATTATGCGATTAAAAGAAATTATTGCTTTATCTTTTAATAACTTTAGTGCCTGCTGCACTAGAGAAAAAATATTCAAGGTGAAAATTCTTTATGCAAGCTCCATTAAATTTGTTTGTACTTTCCATAAATGAAGGGATTAAACAGATAGAAGTAGTTGAGAAATCATAGAGAAAAGACGGCTTTGACACAATACAGCAAAATCATCACCTTGAAGGAGAGATTTCAGAGGGAAGACAGACACTAGCAATACCAGTTTAAAAAAGTAAACTAGAGATGCACTAGCTTGTAGGTTAGGAATAATAGCCAAGAAAATAACCTTTGCAGATAAACACAAGAAAATTGAGACAGGACAACAATATATGAGTATAGGAAGGACAGACTACAGTAAGACATCGTGATTTCTCAGAGCCAAGAAAATACAAAGAACAGGCATTTATGGATCTCTCATCAAGGAGGCAGTGAGTTCACAGGATAGTGAAAGCTCCAAAAGGAACTGAAAGCATAAGGAGCAACAGTGGCCAAAGGATGCATCTTCAGATCCTACAGTAACATGGTAGCAGTAAGTAACATTTCTGGTTTCAAGATTCACATAAAGGGAGTAAGAGTTTTACAACAAATCTTCCAACACTGGTCATAGCAGAAAAGTAAGCACAGAAAAGAATGGTTGCTGGAATCAAAATGTGTGTACTTTTTCGGACAGAAGATGTTTTCAATATCATCTATTAATTGGTTAAAATAACCAATTACAGAACAAAAAACAAATACAAAAGTCAGTTTAAAAGACTGTTGCCTATAGCGTGGTGCTTGTACAGAAGCAATTACTAACAGCTCAGAAGTATGCCCATAAGATAGATTTAAGGCCTTTGCTCATAAAGGAGGTACAATGCAACATAGCATTGTCCCACTTTGCAAAGCAGTGCCTTGTATTCACAGTAGGTTAAGGAGGAAAGAATGCAGAGGGAAAAAAAACCAAACCACAACGTACATGAAGTAATCAGTATCAAATGACATATTTAATGCCATCGCTTGTTACCTGGATTTCTAATTCAGCAATATGCTGTTGGAGTTCAGCCACAGCTGCAATGCGGTCTGCCTCACGGAGCCGTACTGCCATCACTTCTTCTTTATTCTGAAAGAAGTAATAGATTGAAGCTAACAAATAATATCAGTTTCAGCTGACTAAGGATTGTGCCCTACTTTTACCCAAAATCATGCAAGTAAAGAAAATACACCACTGTGTGAAATATCACACCTATTGATAAGGCATATCCTAAAGAATCCAAATTTAATTTTAACCCATAGAATTGTGTAATCATCTAATATCAATTCTAAACTACAATAATCTAATATCTGTGTAGTTTTGAAAACATGCTGTTATCAATTTCCAGGTCTAGAAAACAGCTGTCTTGTGATCCAAAAATGTTATATTGTAAATTAAGAAAAAGTATCAACATAACAAAGAAACAGCTTATGCTTCAACTTTTGACTTTATATATAAACAAAACCGCAAAGCTACACAAGAGTTACTTATTTCATCATTCTTTTGGTCTAAAAAAATAAATTAAAAAAAACTATCACAGAAGCACAGATATTCTCAACCTCATTTAAGTACAGCTATCTTAGTCACAGTATACAACAAAGATTTGCAAGATGTTTTAGAATAAAATTCTAATGCCCATAACCTACAATCAGACTCCTGGTATAAGTTTAACCTGTAAGTTTGCCTATAAGCGATAGACAATTTGAATTTGGAAAGAGAGAAGGAAATATCCTTATTTCTGTTTTATGAGGCAAGTCATCAAGACTTCAGAGCACAAAACAATTAATATTGTCATCAACTTGGTTCAACCACAGAGAGAAAATAGTGATAGATACTGAGTGAGCAATACTTTCAGCTGGAATACAAATATTTCTGGGGAAGAGAGATTAGGCTTAGGTACGCCTACTTTTATGGCAGACTGGTACAACTCTGCAAACTGTAGTTACCGTAAGTCAGATTCAGTATTTCAGTTATTTTAATGTGTGCTTCGAACTGACAGCACTTAACCACCCTTTATTAGACAGTTTGCTTGAGACTGAATTGAACATGCCAAAGCTTATCTCTAACACCTACTTGAAAACATGCGGTTTGTTTGAAAAAAGATCCCTGTACTGAAGGTACACCTTCTACAGTATCCCATTAACAGCTTTTGTAATCAGTGGAGTCCATTTCAGAGGAATGCATCAGGTACTAGCTGAAGTTTAGCCATTATTGCTAAATTCTGCTGCATGATTGCTTGAATGAAAGTGAAGCCAAACCCACAAGTCCACAGGATTGCATGTATTTAACTGAAAGCTAAAGGAGAGACTCGCCTGGTTTGACTTTGGTATCCGAGATGAGTCAATAGTGTTACTCTAGATAGCACTGATGCTTTATCTACAAAACAGAGCATGTTCTCAATAATTACCACAAAAGTTGATATGGTAGGAAAGACAAGACTGGAGTGGGGGTACAAATGTTATGTTGTAAGTGCTTTAGCAAAACTGATTAGAAAGAGCAGTGCTGTGTTTCAAGAAAGAATTTGAAATTAAGTCCTTGCTGTAGAAGCACTAGTCCGGTATAGAAGGAAAAACATAACAACATGCAACTTGCTACTAAATTTTCATTGCCACTTATGTATTTTAAGCTATCCTTTAAAGAAAAATACAAGCCCCAGAAAGGATGTGCAGAAATTTCTGCACAGAAAAAACAACTGGGGAGTTGAAAATCCAAATGTGTCTTTTTGATGCACCTCTTCAAGGAGAAATACTGCTACCTAGCCAAGTTGTAGTGACAGAAATAAATTAGAGCATGGTTTCAGATAACTTGAAACAATAGGAAGAAAAAAAAAAATCAAACATCAGTTTATAATGCAATCAGGGATAACAAACGTGCTAGATTTAAGGGGATGCAAAGTAGAACTTTTAAAAATATTCGGGGCTACACAAATTTAGCATTTGTCTGAGTTGCTCCATGACATTACCTGAAAGATTATTGAATCTTTCTTCATCAGTTTTGAATACAACGTTGTTGTATATAGGAACATATTAAATTATTTACATTGCAGTACTGTCTTTTCAATTCAACCTACCTGCTATTATCTGTATTGCAAGCCAAATGTAAGTTCATAGCAACACTATTTAGTAAAGTTACAGATACTGAACCTACTTCTCAATGGACTGTAAGTATGACAAGTCTGCTGTTATTGCTGGAGGCCAGCCCTTCACACTTGTAACATACACCTTACATAGCAATGATAGGATATGCTGGTTTCTTGTAAAATGAGTTAGTATAAACAAAGCCAGTAACATTGCAAGTTTTTGGCCTGACAAGCATGACAATGTTTCTCTTTCTACTTTAAACTTCAGCTTTTATTTTTTTGTTTAAATTCACTTGAAAATTAAAATCTCATTTTCTTCACCCAGTGAAATATTAAACAATTCCAAGCAGGAATTTCCTTCATTTATTGGGGTATAGAGGTGGGGAGACAGGAACTTAAAAAGTGAAAGCATTTAGCATGAATCTTAGATTAAGCTAAAAATCACACTTCCAGTAGCTTGAGTGTAGGGAGCAAGGGACAGGAAACAATGACAATCGTTACAAATCAACTGTCAAAGGACAATGGCTTTTTATATGCTCTCGTTTTTCACTTAACTGTAGATCATCATTCAGTTGGAGTCTGAAATTGAGAAGTTTTTTGTGAGTTTGAAACAGCAATAGGGAGTTCAATAACAAGTTATGTCCTATTTAAAGAGCAGGAGAACACTTAAACTTGTGTATATTGTTTAACATTGGTTCATTTTTTGATGACACAGCCTTCTTATTAAATCTGTAAAACATTGCTCAATTGTTTGTATAGTTTATTAGACAATAAAGTCACAATGAAAGTTCGTGACAAATGTCAGAGGTAGAGGGAAAAGGGAATGAGGGGACACTACATTGAAGAAAGGTTGTTTCCAACAAGTTATATACCAGCATCTGTATGGTATTATACATTATATATTATACTAGTCTGTATGATATTATACTAAGCCTCATCCCAAGAAGTCACACTCTAGCCCACAGTTAAACAGTAGAACTCCCGCTAAGGTATCTGTACCAAATTGGTAATATTTCATTTTATATCATAAACATCAACTTGGAAAACATGTTACAATGTAAACTGTAATCTTTTTCTTATCAGTGACTGCAATACAACTTTCAGGATCTAATGTTACTGTATGTCAGTACCACTACTTCGCTGACTACTGATCACTGCTACTTTCAGAGAATCTCTAAAAAAAATATGACTGGTGGTCTGCTTTCCAAGCAAATTATCCCAGTGGGAATAGTCATGTAGATTAACTCATTAGCCAGGTTAAAGACATTAATTAACTCTTTTTATAGTCAACATAAAAAATTCAGAATATTGACTACACTCTCTCAATCTCTTAAGGTTTAATGAGGACCTTCAGTATCAAAAACTAATCAAACGAAAGAGTTACAGGTTATTTGAAAAGACAATGTCACCAAGATTGTAAATATTAAAAACAGTCAGTAGAAGCAATTTCTTCTTGTTTCCTAAAAGCTTGTGATGGAGTTTGATGAGTCAGTAGAAGTTATGTTTTCACTGCACTTTAGATTCAGGTTCCATTGGAAACAAATGGAACTGGCAAGACAGCAAGAAAAATGAAAACCTAAAAAACCCCTGAAATACCTGGAGTAATCTCAGTTATTTACTGTTCTATTTCTTTAAAATAGAACTGAGCAACAACAGTAGTCAGCTTCCTTTTTCTGAAAGAACTACGACTAAGGCAAAACTAGCAACAAGTTGCCAATTACAAGTTACACACTATGACTTTGAGTCGTGTTGGTTTTGAATGGGATAGAGGTAGTTTTCTTCATCGTAGCTAGTATGGGGCTATCTTGTGGATTTGTGCTGAAAACAATGTTGAGAACACAGGGATGTTTTCGTTATTGCTGAGCAGTGCTTACATAGAGCCAGGGCCTTTTCTGCTTCTCACTCCACCCTACCAGCGAGCAGGCTGGGGGTGCATGAGAAGCTGGGAGGGGACACAGCTGGGACAGCTGACCCCGACTGACCAAAGGGATATTCCATGCCGTATGACATCTTCCCTCAGCTTTATATGCTGAGTGTGAAGGAAGGGGTGGGGCACGTTGGGGGTTAGTGTTTCATCTTCCCAAGTAACCATTCCACATGACGGAGCCCTGCTTTCCTGGAGGTGGCTAATTACCTGCCTGCCGATGGGAAGTGGTGGATGAATTCCTTGTTTTGCTTTGCTTGTGTGCATGGCATTTGCTTTCCCTATTAAACTGTCTTTATCTCAACCCACAGTTTTTCCTCACTTAAGCTTCTACGATTCTCTCCCCCATCCCACCACTGGGGTGAACAAGCGGCTGCGTGGTGCTTAGCTGCCAGCCGGGATTAAACCACAACAGTATTGCCTAGATTTATACATTACCTTGGAAAAAAGAAATTACAAGAAGAAATAAAAATCTGTAAAAACTGAGACGTGTGATATTATAGCAAAACTATGCCTATTAATAAGGATGCCATTTCATCTCCAGGCTAAGCGACAATGATAAACCACTCAAGCTACGCTCTCAATTCATATGGTCCACAGAAGCCTTTGATGGAATTGCAGCTAATGCAGTCTTTGGGGTATGTATGGTGTTACAAGCAAAAAACATGTATATTAGATAAAATTGAAAACCAAAGACACATAACAGTGTTCTGCATGAATGAAAACAGAAACAAGTAGCGCATGTAAAAAAGGTTTGGTTACATTAAGGGCAAAACTAAGATGTGATCATGAACACAAATTATATAACAACATCTGCTCTCAAGTGGCAAATTCACAGCCACAGTTTAATAAATGGTAGTCTGATTATTCATATCAGTATTATTTCTACCATACTAAAAAGTATCCTATTTAGAAATTACTAACTATTCAGTTCTAGCTGATTTTATAAAAGACTATTCATACATCTCTTGGAAATAACATTTCAGTAAAAATCGTTTTTATGTCTGTAGCACACAGTGTCTTAACTACAGTGATTTGTCAACTAATATCGCCCTTTTTTCAAGTAAATATCAGTAGCAGTGTCAGGAAAATTTTCATCCAAGTTAAAAGAAAAAAGCTTGAAAGACTCATCCTTCATTTCTTGTCCATATTATGAGTGCACAAGTTATGAAGACAGAAGTTATTAGTAATTGGTTATAGATTTAGTTACAAAATTAAAAGTTTAAATCCAAGATTCAGACATTACATTGGGCTCTCTTGTGTGCATTGTCAGTAATAAAAACTACTCTTCTGCCCAGTGGCTTTGGGTTATCCCCTTCAAGACTGGTTACTCTTAGGCAATGACTATTGTAACAGTCCCTTCTGTACAGCGCTCTGTTCAAATACTACTTTTACTCCCCTTATTCTGAAACTGAACTAATTCTGCAGTAATAGTGTTGAAGTAATGAACTACTTATGTCACTAAAGACAGAGTACACAGTGATCAGAATCTGTTGTGTAAGCGTGTCTTTTTAGATATTATACACAGACACTTTTCTGAGTAGAACCACACTTCAAAGTAAAAGTTTGTCTTTGTGGGACCACAAAGAAGCAGCTCTGTCAAAACCTCAAGTGATTTTGTGACATGGTAAATTCAAGATGGTATTGTCAAATTAGTAAAAGAAAGTTTTAGTTTTGTGATTTCTACTTCTCCACTAAGACACAATTCTATACAACAATAGTGGAGAAGACTAAAAAGTACATATACATTAGCACACAAATAGTCTATTCACTATGTTGTTTACCTTGCATTCAATCTCTGCTTGTCTACGTTTTGCTTCATTCAACTGAGCCAGAAGTCCTTTGTTTTGTGCAGAAAGATACTGTACCTTCCCCTGTAGGTTGGTAACCTCTTGCTCTGCCCTTCGTAAATGGTTACTATTGATCTGATTCTGAAATTTATAACAAAAAAATAAAAGAAAATGCATGTTAAGGAAAGATCTTTGATATTAATTTAACTCCCTGAAGTCTGACAAGACAGACTTACAGATCATTTACTATAAAAAACTTTTGATGAAAAAGCATTCAGAATTTTCTAAGTGTAATCAGAAAAGTTCACATGACATTTGGTTTATGACCAGGATATTCAAATTGTTCTTAAACAACAGGTGACTCATGTAAGAGCATTATTGCAAAGCTCCTGTACATCTGTTTTTCTCAATCTTTTGCTTAGGTAAATCAAAGATTTTGTGAACTCATATCCCAACTACAGCAACAAGCTGATGCATCCAAGAAACACCAGGTATGTCAGAATTACCATGTTCACGTTTCTCTGTCCAGTGAATTCCTGAAAGGAACATGGCACCTTAATTAAGATCAGTGCATTAGTACAAGTCATACCAGTTTTATTTGAAGCTATGCATAGACCAGTACACAACACAAGAACCACTGCATTTCTGTCAAATGATAGCTAAACAGCATGAGCATATACAAAGACTCTATGCATTACACTGAAGTGGGAAGTGTTGAAGTTGGAAGACCTTTCAGTACATGTAACCCAGATAGCAGGATACCTATGCCCCCTACTGACTAAAATACACAGATGGGGAAAAAACAGTAAAACAAAAGCAGTTAGCTGTAGTGAAACAGTATTAACACTTCAATGAAAATTAAAAAAGTTAAGGCAAGAGGAAACTTTTATTCAGTTAGTATAGAAAAAGTGGTGCCTCTGTCAGCAATAAGCCACCATGTGTCTTGCAGTTAGCTCATCTCTCCTCAGTAGCACAACCTTTACATGCTCTGCTGGTTTCTGGGATTGCTGATGCTTGTCAAGTAAAGGTTTTTTTGTTTGTTTAGCCTTTTGGATGCACATGTCTCCTTCAAGTAGCCGTTATTTAGCAGGTATTTTTTTAGCAGGTATTTTATGGGACAATTTCTCAAAAGCCTATGACAAACCCTTCTCAATCAACAGTACATTGCACTTGATTCAACTAAGAGTTTGGTAACATAATATGAACTCATCAACTTCAGTGTACTTTCATCTCACATTTGTTTGCTGAATACCAATTTATTCCCTAGTTACACAAAAAATATCTTGGCAGACTAGTTATTTTTGTCTTTTCTGAACAAATCTCAGCAATGGTGAATCATGCTTTGCTTTTCTGTCACATGAAAGGTAAAGCTTCTGCTAAAAAAAAAAACAACCTGACAACATGCAGCTGTTTTGCTGAGAGTCCACAGTTTAGTAATCACATTCATAACCTCAGTGGATAATCTAGTATAGGCAATTTCACCAGAAGAAAGATGACACTGCCACTTAAAGAATTAGAATTACTCTTATCAGAATCATCAGTTAGGTTTGTGAAATCTAAAACACCTTAAAAGTACTTTCGTTGTTACACCAGTTACAATTTAATGAATTAAGATTCACACACAAAGTCTACCAATTACTCCAAATAAGAAATTTAGAAAGTGCAGTCCTGGAAAAGACTAAAGAAGAGACATTAAAGTAAGTTGGACTGTATGCACTAGATTCTCCCTCCTAGTCTAACAGCATTAAAAAGAAAAAAAAAACCAAACCCCACACATTTTAGAACCAAAATCATGCCTGTAGATAGTAAAAGATCATCATCGGTTATCTACCATTTGACACCAGTTTGCCAGCATTCATCTCAATTCATGCATGCTAGTGTTCGGTAACATACCTGTGTTTCCATCTCCATCATTCTTTGTTTGGTCTCTTTCAGTTCAGCCTGCGTTTCTGCTTCTCTCAATCGGACTGTCATCAGCTCATCCTGTAGCTCATTCACTGTGTTTTTTCTGGGAGGATCTTTCCATCTTCCAGTGGTACGAGCTAGATGACGCTAAAAAAATAGCATGCCATTGCTGATAATGCCTGACCTTTCCTGGTGTTCCCTTATTTCATTTAAGGTCTCAGAGTTATATGGTTGCTATAGTGCTCCTGCTTGTCCTAAAAACTAGAAATCCATGCAAACTTCCTAGTTTTAAGAATAGACAAAAAACTGAAGACAGTCATTCCCAACTACAGTAAGTCAGTGAGTTGCAAGTATATCCTGAGACTTTTGCCTATTTCTAGCCCTTATTAACATTTAGTGAAGTAGGAGTACTGATAAGGTACTTCCTTTCTACCAGAAAGATTAACTGGTAGCACAGGCTCTGACATATATAACAGCTAGGGAACAATTTCTAACACACTTTCGAAGTAAAGTTTCTTGTGGCAGCTGCATTTAAAGATTTTCTCACCTCAGCAGCTTGATCCACAATCACTAGTTTCTACGTGATCTCTAAATCTCAAAATTTCATAGCCTTTTGCTTTATCGTAATTCATTAAAAATAAAAAATTGTTAAAAGTGTATTGCTACCCATACCTGCCAGTGTTCCTCCAAATCTTTGACTTGCTGCCTTAGTTCTTTGAGACCCATCAGAGCTTCTGCTTCTCTTAATTTTACTGCAATCAGTTCTTCTTGTAGTCTAGCAACATTTTCCTCATCAGGGAGAGAACTGTTCCTCTGCAACAAGGACCATCCTCTTAAATATGTATTTGAATAAAACTGTGCTTAGTGAGACCCACTCCAAGAATATAGACATGGAATGATATCTCTTATTAGTAACTGAACTTTTTTAATTACACATCCCTTGCAAAATAAAATCCCTCAAAAAAAAAAAAAAAATCTAAGTTCCTGGATATAGCAAGCATGAATAAATATCCTCCAACCGCCAGCTACAGAAAAAAATTGACAAGGTAGTCTTCAGTATTCTGACTTCCAGATTTCCCCAGATGATACCCCTAACAAAGCATTATTTACACTGTTTTTCACACAGCATCAAAAACATGGAGAGAAATCTGAAAAATTTTGAGCTAGTTGGTTAAAGTATAGCAAAAGAGGAACTGAAATTAAACCTTTAGAGTTACAACTTTTACTTGGACTTACAGGAAAAAGAATAAATGGAAATTTATTGTTTGGGAAGTAGGTCATCTGCCTTTGAAAAAGGAAAAAGATATGTTGACAAAGAAACATTAATATTTATAAACAACCACCACTCAAGAAAAGGTCTTACAGATGAAAGTGTACAGATATTTACAAAAACACATGAGGAAAAAGTTAGAAAGACTAGAGAAAGATAAACAGAAAACAGGAAAACACACAGTCGAAGTGACCTGAGGAAAGTAAAACAGTGACTAAAGTGTAGTAACAGAAGTCTAGGAAAGAAACAGAGGAAAAGAAAAAGGACATAGTCTGTCTACAGTATCCCTACATCAAATTACTGGACACCAAATACTCAAAGTTGAACTGTGCTTCATCACTTTCTACTGTATTTCTCAGTAGTAATTTTCAGCAGAATTAAGTATTTTTGTAGATATGCAATACTGACAGTTGCCAGGTTTTCTTGAGAGTACTTTATTAACAGAAAACAGCACAACAGCCCTTCATTAGTATCTCTGTTTCAAATCATTGGCTTCAAGTATTGGCAAATATAGGAAGTGATAGGGTGTGTTTCTGAATGTTTACATCACTCTCAGTATAGCCATGCAAGTCTTGGGTTACTGAGCAGAGTTTTCCCAGATTACATGACACATCACTAACAGCAGTAAAGAGCTGTATTTCTAGGCATTTGAGGGAGCTACCTTCAGTCACTTTCATGTGCCTGAATTCATTATGGACAGACTGAAATACTACTTGACATCCAAGTTTGTCTGGTACACTGGACTTTCCCACACTGCTCCAGTTTTTTTTTTACATTTAAGTTTTCAGTGTATGCCATCTTCATGCTGATGAAGGTTAAGTAAAGAAGTAGCCTCTTATTGAACTTTGAAAAATACTTTAGATGCTGAACTCCTACCAATGTTCAGTACAGTAAAAACTACCACACTGCTAGCCTGGCAGACTCCCATCAAGCCCCACAGATAATTAAAAAAGTAAAATCTTAACTCCAGTGGGTTAATCTAATTAGCTAGTAAGTTCTGGCCACATTCCTGAGTATACAGCTCTTTAAAAGTTTCCATGAGGAAACAATTTCCAAAGCCAATACAACAGCATCTGAAGAGCGTGCCTTATTTTAGGTCAATTAGTGGGTCCTTTCATTTTTTTCTATTTTATTTTGCAGTTGTGTTTTTCTTCTAAGAAAGGTAAGCGTTTGACAGTCGGTTTGAGTACAGCTTGAACTCTGGCATCAGTAAGTTACAAGCTGGGATGGCACCAAAAAAAGCAGTAAAGCCTTTGATACTAAACAGTGGAGGTATTCTTTCCCTGCCCATAATGGGACAAAGTAGGAGACACTCAAGACCTGGGAATAGGAATGTGTAACTCTTTCTTCCTCCCCTCCCAAACTATTTAGTTTCACATCACCTCAATGCTCACCCTAAGCCTACTGCTCTTGTTGCAGGATATAACTTTGAACAATTTATGTTTACTGTAAGGACTCCACAAGAATCCAAGTTTTACCACAGCACTGGGCTTCAGGAACAGAAGAAAAGTGGTCTGTTCTTCACAAACCTTTCCCAGTGCAAACCATTCTTGTGTTTTTTGCTATATTAACTTCAGGTTTGAAAAGCATCTTGCAGTCATGAAAACATAGAAGAGAAGATTCTAGAACACAGTATGCAAAGAATTACAGGGACCTGTATTCTGTTTCTAGAGCTATTTTAGACAGAAGGTCCTGGTTTGATTTACCTTTTCCACCTCTAGAACTTTATCTTGCATCTCCTTCAGGGCACAATGAGATTCTGCTTCACTCAGCCTGGCTTGGACCAGCTCTTTTTCCAGCTGTAGCACAAAGTCTTCACTGTATCGTGAACTGCATTTATGCTACAAAGTTTGCAGAAATACATTTAGTATGAAGCACAGATTGTTTGCAAGGGGTTTTATACGCCAGGTTTGGAGTGAAAAGTACATTCAAATGCTTAACATTAGGAATACCAGCTTAAGATCAACAGAGTGCTTACCTTATACAAGTCTACTAACATATCCATCCAGGTTGCCAACAAAAAGAACCCTAATGCTATGCCTCTCAAACAACTGCACCTCTATGCAGCCAAATGTGTAAGACCAAACTGAGACCCCCATTAGTACTGATAAGCAACAACTCATGCTTTTATCTCGTCATTACCCAAACTGAAAAATTCTCAAAGGATCTGTGATTTTGTGATATGTAGAAAAAGATGCTTAGGAAAGACTAGCTAATTACAAGGTTAATACAAGTATCTCTCTTGATCCCTACTCACTCTGCTTCAACAGAAGCCTTCCATAATCTTGGATTTAAAATAAAGACGTATGTGCTTCAATGCACAATCGCTTTGGTTTGCCCCTTTCTTCCACTCCAGCCCTTGGCTCTCATTTGCTCACACTATACAGATTCCTTCCAAGATTCTATTCTAGGGCAATCCCTGTGGATTTCTGAAAATTCCAGGCACAAGTAGCAGTATAGCCTAGCAATATAGTTCTAGACAGACAGCATAGGCCCAAGCTACAAATAAATTTGGTTCTTTCCATGTAGGACAGTCTGTGACATCCTTAGAGTATGCCCAGCCAGCTTTGCACACCCACACACATTCCCTCAGTAATAAAACAGCAGTTTAGAACTTAAGGTCACCCTTTTCAAACTTCAGGGGGAAAGGAAAAAACCAACAGTCCTGCTCAAGTAAGTTAATTCACCGTTAACTTATTTCTTGACTGTTGATTAGCTGGAATTAAAAGTGAGATCTACCCTTTCACTCACTAAAGCAAAATTTCATGAAACTCCATCTTTCAACAAGTACATCCAACTGAAGTCATACTAAGCATTTGTATTCAAAAGCTGCATCTTCTTCCTCCAGTCAACAGTTACAAAATAAATTTTATTTCTTTCTTGGGTCACTTTAAAGTGACTTGAGATTCACCACAGATTGTCAGACTTGCTTGACAGGTGATGCCATCCTAAATCAGCATTTAAACTTCTGGTTTAGGAGAAAAAAAAAAAAAAAAAAAAAAGGGGTGTCGAAATCCCCAAAGCATAGCTACCTAGCTACTGTGTATGCACAGATAGCCTGAAAATTAAAGGAAAATAATCTAATACATCTTTGGTGCCAGTAACTACATTGTGAAGAATAAATACTATACTTGGATTCATAGATGAAGTTTTATTCAATTAACAATGCAGCTTTAAAATCCAGACAGTATTCATTATACTAAAGATACAACTATTTCTCACTTTATTTTATGTTTGCATGAAGCAATTGTTTTCTGCATCTAAAAACAGTTGACGAAATTACCAGAAAAGTCTTCAGTTCCATACACTTTTAATAGGGTAGGACATTCCCTAACCTTCAATGCACAAACCCAAGGCAAACAGGACGAAACAAGAATTTACAACATGTAACTACATGGTCAAGGAAATGTTTTTTTAATTTATTTTTATACTTCTGCAGGCCAACTAAGCCTTTCATCATGACTTACAGTACAATCCAAATTCAAAATCTACACTAACCTTAGTGTTACAACTCATTGTATTTCTTATATATATCTATCTATGTCTACAGGGAGCCAAAACAGAGGGCATATATAGAAAGCATTAAAAGGCAAATACAGCTCATGCAGGCAGTCTTCAGTGTCATTGAGACTATGCATTTAAGTGCTTATCCTTCTTAACTGCAGTTGAACACACAAGGAACACTTAATGTACAAAGATCATAATATATATAATATTAATTATCCCTTATACAATACTAATTTAATTCATATTATTTTCAACCCACAATGGTGTCTTTGCCTCAGCAAATAGTGGAGGTAGCCCCAATTTGAGTGTAAGGACAGGATGGGTGGACAATGCTGATTCATTTCTACAACTGCTTCACATGATACGGGAGCATGAGTAGCGCGCACACATGTAACATGCAAATGCAGAGAACAGGCAACAGCTTTCTTATTCCCTGGCTGTTTGTACAAGTTCACCAGATGACACACACAGCAACTTAAATGGACTCTATGTTTCTTGTTCCAGATTCTGCTTATGATACATATGGAACAAGAACAAATGCAGTTTGCTTTCCTCAGGTAAGAAGTCCTCTTGTACTCACTAGGAAACTGAAAGAAAACAGCAGATTTGAAGAGCTGAACATATCCTGATTTTGCAACAATGTGTAAGTGTACTCTAAATAGTTTTGGACTACAAAAAAAAAATCTAACTGACATTTGTCAAATAATAAGTAACGGAGGGTGTAAGAAAAGTTACTTATCCAGTTTTCATGCACAAGTCATGCCTTTTTAAATCTGTCCTTAGACTTCACATGCCTAGGGAATGTGTTAGGAGTGTTTATCTACTTAGTCACAACAAACTTTATATCAAGTTTTGATGGACTGGCAAAAAAATACCGCCAAGGTCAAAACAGATTTAAAAAACAATATTCACCTGTTCAAAGTCATGATTTTTTGCTCCTTAAAAAAAACCAATACACAATTTTAATAGTTTAGTATATAAAGGTAACACAAGTTTATAGTCAAAACAATGTTTGAAAACTACTTTAAGGCTGCCTTCGTTAGCAAAAAAACTGCTTTTATATACTTGCCTTAAGCCCTAGAATTTATGACATAAACCACAATGTGAATCCAGATTTCCAGGCATCAGCCAAACATTTTAGCCACAGTAATACTGTTCTTCTTGGCTGTGTTAGAGATGTCTGTAATATATAGCACTATAAATGCAGTTCTACAACCATTTACGTTTGAAAGAAAGTAGTCCTTGCCTGGCTTCACACAACTAGATTTATTTTCCCCCAACTTTTCTTAAAATCTCAGGGACTGACACAACCATTCCTAATATTATTTTGGCCAATGACAGATTATTACATCTAATTACAGAATGCTTTTCCAGTACTCTATACTGAAGGGCAGCTAACACATTGTTCAGCAGCTGCCCAACTAACTTGGTTTACACATTTAAGCACTAACTGTAGTAACTTTACTAAATACAGTATTTTTATTTTCTGCTTTTTCATTGCAAATCAGAACATAATATAAAAAAATTTATTGTAAAATAAAGTGAAGCCTTCCATAAGGTTGTAACACACATTTACAAGCATATATTCCCTATATCAATTGTTACGCTTTTAATTATTGTCAGTCATTTTAGCATGAGTTCCTAAAAAGAAACAATGCATTATGGAGTTGCTGTAACAATAACCAAATACATGGCTATAAATTACCTTGCAAAATGCATATGCTTCCATCTGAATGTTTAGTCAATTAAAATTCTATCTTCACATAATATACTTGAAGAGCCTTCTTAAAAATAAGTCGTGAAACAATTTTAGCTTGAACTGTGTCTCATTTCTCAGATTCCATTTTCAAGCATTCAGACTGATAAACTAGGTAATCATTGAAAATTATAGTATCACTTGGAAAGATTGAGATTTGTGTTCCTGAAGTATATTTAACTGGCAGAAATTGTTAGGTTGTTCATTTTAATATATCCAGCAGAAGCTACCATTTTCATTTAGAAACAATAGGAGAAAAAGAACAGAGAAATTCCTTCAGCACATAATTCTCAGGTGTAGGTTAGAATAGGCTGATTACCCTCACCATCACTCTTAGCATGCCTCAAAAGAAAACCTTCTGTATTCTGCTGAAGTCAGGCACAACTTCCTCTATGCAGTTCTTGATTTACTAGCAGTATGAGGAAGAAACCACCTTCCTGTTAATCTTTTGGTTACCTGCCGCATCTGGAAGCCTTTGGCAAGTTTCTGTATGCCAAAGACAGGTTAGTACCATTCTCTTCAAAAACAGTCAAGCAAATGTTTAGGTAGCTGAAGCACTGAACTCCAAGAGCACTTCAGAATATTGTTAGCTTTACAATTATTTTTTCCTAGTTATAAAGAAACCGTACAGGTTATACACTGTTTGTAAAAACCTTGCACTGACAGAGTTGGTCTCTACTAAGATGTGAGAGTTCGCATCCACAGTAAAATTAAGCGTGAAGTCTCCATCTCAAACCTTTTTTCTACTTCCTATTCCCCTTCCAAATGACCTTAAATATATTCAGAAATATGTAGAACACATTTGATGGCACTTTATGTTATTTTTTGTATGATCATTAGTACTATTTTCAGGGAGCAGTACTATAGCAGAACTTCCCTTCCTTTGACTAAAACAATCGTAAGAACCACCTCTCTAAGTAGACTCAACAGTTTGTAATAGTCATTCTGGTTCAACTAAAAACCCCTATAAATACTTCAGCGCAGGAAAAATTAAAGTTGCATGTGATTTGGGCTTCTCATTATGGACTTCAGTCAAAAGAACACTCGTCTATCTCTGTATTCAGCCTTACAAAGCAGTGCTGCAAGGGAGAATTTCTTCATACACACACATGTCCTGCAGGCACTTTCAATACTTACCTTTAAGCCATCCAACTTGTGCTATCAAATTTCATAGAACAGACAGAATAAACTCCAGATAATAATTAAACACAAATGCATAACCTTTTTAAAAAGGATATGTTAGCCTTCTTAGAAATACTATGGTTTAAATAATATTTTTGCTACCAACAACAAACCCTTACCCTTATTTCTCCTGCCTCATGATTTACTTGTAAAAGTGGGCTATATTTTGTTTTCTTTTTCTCTTTTAAATCTTTTAAAGTGTTATTCAGAAAGGGCAGCCACAGGTTATCCTTAGGAAGTTCTTTTCATACATTCCATTCATAAATTTATACCTGAACTTTAGTTTCTATCACACTGAAACAGACAACTCAAGACTGGAAAAGACGTAGAAAATATGTAGGATAGATGCCGTACCTTTAAATAAGTACAGATATAAGTAGCTGCAGAGTTTAAGTTCACTGTGCAATTATTTTTGCTAATAATAAACAAAACTGAAATAATTGGAGAAAATACCCACATTAAAGCAAATATTTTTAAGACAATACTGGAGAGAGTATTGCCAAAAGCAAAGCTACTGGCACTAGGAATTGGCAAAAAGATTTATCGGTATATTCAAAGTGAAATGCCAAAATTCAAAAGACACTGATGGCTTTCCACTAGGTGGTGTCTTCAGTGCATGTAGCTGTTCACATTTGTTGCTCCCATTTCCATGCTTGGAAATAAAGTTAAAAGCCATGTTCAATTACAAATCTTACTAATGCAGCAGAATCTAGGAACTACTAATTGAAACCATCTTAACGCTTTCACCACATTGTCTAAAGTTAATTCAGATGGTCCTCAAAACCACAGTACTATTCCTTACACATCAAAATTAGTCAGCTACTAGGCACAAATCCCTCTATAACCAACAAATGGATTTACAGCCCCAGTTCCACGCATAGTCAGACTATTTCTTATAGTCACGTTCACATTTAAATGGGGGAAAACAAGGCTGCAAGCATGCAGGGTAGGAAGCACGGCTCTTACATTAACTGCCCATTCTCACATTTTACTTACTCTCCACTCCTGCAGTACCTGTCCAATCTTCTGCCCTCGCAGCTCCAATCCAGCCAATCTAGCACCTCAGTCTCTTCCCATAACTTTCAACTGAGTACAGGTAAGTAAGATTGGTGCCTCCAAAAACACATGCCAAAAGCATGTGTACTACTGTAGTCAGACATTAAACAGCTGGCTACCCAAGTCTATAAACATTTCTCATTTTATTTCACTTGAAAGACTACATCATATCTAAAATTTTGGAAAGCATCACTAGAACATCCCCATCTTCCTAATCATAATTTCTTCATGTTTTCTTCCCTAAAGAAATTGCTGAAGTTAAATAAAAGGCAGCATTACACATTAGAGGAACAGCTCATTAATCATAATCATAATCATAATCACTCCTTGCAACTATACAGAAAGACGTTCTTTTTTTACACTGAAATAATAAGCTATTTCTATAGTGTTTGCATTTAAGTTCCCATTTCTTTTCAGTCTAACAGTAGATCTCATCTCTGCCTTCCAAGACGATATAGAAGTCTTACCAGAGCTTTGGTGGAAGACATGTAAAACAAACTGCTATATTGCCTGTATGGGATCTGGTAAGCAGCTGCAGTATGCTGTAGTTCTGAAAAGTCCTATTTCATACACCTGAAATGCCCAGGGCTTCAGACAAGTACTTGGATACCACTTAGTCAAAACAGTATGAGCATATTCACATCAACATTGCTGATGCACAGTTTATTCAGCAAGTGAAGACTACTGAAACTGCTTCCCTCCCTCTCAAGAGAAGATACCGAGCACTTCCTAAGTGGCTTAGAGAAGGTATCTTCAGTCTCACAGGAACGGTCTGAAGCCTTGCACTTTATACTAGCTAAAACACATAGTACATACAAACACAGTACTACATACAGCTGCTAAAAGTTATTTTCCTGTTCTAGCTGCACATAAACACACACCTTTTAATAAAGGCCTGTAGTTCCCAACTCAGGGACAATACCCTTCTGTTTTTGCAAGCAGCCTACTTAAGAAGCATGCTAGGAAAAAAAAATAGGTACACAGCAGAAGCGTTGCCATGGAAGAGACTGACTTAAATGAGAAGCTAAGTAAAGGTACTATGAATCAAATCTCAAATTTGTGTGACACAATTTGCAATGGCTAGATTCTTTGCATTAGGAGGTACTAACGGTTATATGTGGTTTTTTGTTAGTATTTCTTTGGTGGCGTTTCGGGTTGGGTTTTTTTAGTACTGTTGGGTTTTTAGCTTGGTGTGTTTTGTTGGTTTATCCACATAATCCGGGGTTATGAATCTCATCTATCAATAACAGACCGAAGTATCACTTAGTCCAATTTATGTAATCTTAAGAATGCAAATCACAATGAACAAGCAATTACAAGAACAGCACAGAGACCATGTCATGATGAGAAAAAATAAACACAAGTGAGTGAAAAAGATGAGATGATGTGCTGCCAGGCTCCTTACCCATTGCTGCTGCTGTTGGAGCTCCCTGATGGTATTCTCAGCTTGCTCCAGTTTAGTAATGGCCTCATCACTCTGCTGTTTGATAGTGGCCAGCTCCCGTTTTATGAGGTAGTTTTCCTCAGCCTCCTGGGCCCTTGTCACTTGTCCCTTAGGACATAATTTATTTTTTTTAAGCAATTGAGGACAAATCCAAGACAGACTGCCTTTGTGATGCTTAGCTGCTTATTTCATCAGATTGGCTTTGCAAACAGCATAGAGTACAATTGGTAGAAACTTTAGGACAAGGTAGTACTAAACAGCTGCTTTAGTACTTTATTACAGAGTTCAGCATCCATTTAGCAAGCACAATTGCGTACCTGCACTCAATAAGATTCCTTTCATGCAGTATTACTCAGTTGTACATGCATAGATTTAAGGTTGCAATATTCAATTTCAGTGTTAATACAGTGTCATAGAATCCTTTTGTCATAAGAATTTGTACCAAAAAAATTACATTAGGTTAGGAAAAATATTATAACGTGCAGGTATTGGGTTTTATATTTTTAGTAAACAAAATTAAACAAGTTTCTAGCAAGAGATTAGCTCTATATTTATTCCAAATCAGCAAGGCAGGGATAGAGTACAGCATGCAAATATGCATGCATTAAAGCAGTCTGGGGGCGGTTTTGAGAGTAGGAAGAGAGTCATACAGTAAAAGACTATACCTGAATCAATCTATCTGCCAAGGAAGCACTTTCCTACAAAGGAAAAATTCAGATAGGAATAAGGAAAAGAAAAACCACAACAAAGGGGTGATAACAGTGACAAAAAAGACAAGAGCTGAGAGAAAGAAAATGCCCAACTTCTACCCATTTTCTCTACAAACCCTTTTTGCAAAATTAACAACTATTCATATGAATTAAGGCAACTCAGCCCTAAAGTCCCAGGAAACAGCCTTCTCTGCAATAGATTTAACACAGTCCATCTTTAATACAACAAGGTCTCAAAGCCAGATTTCTGTAACGCTTGAAGTTCAGCTACAGGAGAGTGGGTATCTGAATGGCATACTTCCCTAATTCACAAAAGTTATGATACGTTATCTGATACTGTCTAGTAAATAGATGGAAGATGTGGTCTATGGTCCATCCTCAACATGAAAGGAAGGCACAATTTGAGCACAAATGAAACTCCACTAAGCACTGAGGCATTCATGCGGAACTACAGCTTCCAAAAAGATGAAGCAGGAAAGTTAAATGGTACAAACTGAGACACAAGTAGAAAATTTCAACTGTGACAGCTAATAGTTTGTTTTACTGAACTCTTGCAGTAACTCAGTCGAGCAGTTTATAGATACTCTTTCCTTGCCAAAGTTTTGCAAGAAAGAAATTTTCATTTACGCACTGACATGCACTATATTACCCTCCTCCTCCAAGCTGCAAGTTTAATTTTTACTCTATCACCCTTGAAAGCACTCAATTTTGCAGATTCTACAACAGAACACATCTATTCACAGATCATCTTTGTCCTTGTAACTTTTATTAAAATTGAAGTTCAAACTGGTTGATAAGAGCTATTATTTAGAAATTAGGGCAAGACGTTTGTCATTAAGATACACTAAGGAAATAACAACTAAATCATTCAGGTTAGGATAAGGAAAAAAAAAATTTTTAAAATAAAAATAAGTTTCCAACAGAACTGAATGTGTTTGTTCACACTTTATGATCTGTTTTTCAAATGCTGTGATAATGATCTTCAGAAATTCACATTAATAGAGAGTATATTCCCATTTTGAAATGTTCTAATTCCAGTCAGAATGGCATACTCTGAAAGAGATTTCTGAAGTTTTAAGTACAGAATTTGGAAAAGCACTAGCATCTGGCAGTTCATCATAGACTTCCTAACATAAAAAAAAAATCTGACCTCAAACTTCTGCAAATTCAGCCTAAAACAGGGATATTTACTATTATAAATTTGCCAAGAGCATTGAAGAGATTCACTACAGCTTCAGACTTCTTAAAAAAAGTCTGGTCTTCTCAGTTAATTTTATCAGCACTTCAATATTAGAAACAAAGATGTTGATAAAATTGTATTTTTGATCACAACTTTCACAATATGTCCTCATTATGTGCATTTCTCCAAGCCAAACTCAGAAACCAATTAATTAGAATTTGACATAGATTGACTGTTTTTTTTTCCAAGAAACTGTAATGGATTTACCATCTGCAGTGTGACATCTTTCAATCATGTCACTCTAAATTGAATCTTTACCATTTTCTTCCCTGTGAAACATGAACAACTGTTTACCACTCACAAGAGCATTCAATTTCATTTGTTGGAAGACAGTTGCTATTCATGGTTAAGATGGATAAGAATGTTCCCATTCTAGAGCAGACCAGCCCAGATACAATCTGTCACAGGAAGCATGATACCAGAATACAGGAGAGGCCATTGGAGAATGTCTGCATGTTGGCAACGTATTGACAACAGTTATCATGCATACTTTTAAAATTATATCCAGTTACAAAGAAACCTAACAAAACTCTACTCCAAACTAAATCTGTGAGAATAAGTCTCAAAAGATATTCTCCCCACCATGTACCCAAAATTGCTACAAAAATTCAAAACTATGTAAAATAAATTAATGGCAGGAGACTTCCTGTACTGAACGTGAATGCTGCAACAATACTCCTCTACAGCTGTATTTGCTAGCGATGAAATAATCTGCTTTCATCTCCATCTCTCCCTGGTCATTGGTAGGTCTGTCATTTTGCTCCTACGTAAAAACACCCAGCAACTTCAGATTTTCAAAATTGAGGATTCTCTCACAATAACCTCTTTTCCACCCAAGCAGTCCACTATTTCATGTGGTCTTCTGAACAGATGCTTCTAATCCAGAAAGAAAACAGTACAACAAAAGTTGGGTATGTCAAAATGTTTGATTTCATATTCACTAAGAGCCAGACATAACAGCCTTAAACATTTACAAGCACTGACTCTAACTGCTTTGTTAATACCATGCTATTTGGCTAAACACTATTAGTAAACATCACAGATTAGCAGGAAAAACAGTAAGCTATAATCCTGAGATTCCCACTTCATATAATAAAATTGCCATCAATTTAAATATCAATTAACACAGATTAAATCTAATCACCACCATACTTACTTTTTCTAATGTTTCAATGCGCTGTTTTAAGAGTCTGTTTTCAGTTCGTAACCTCTGGAATGTAAACAGTTCAGAATTATATTTCTCAAGTTATGAACTGGAAGTCAAGAACTGATAAAAGCCAAGCAAGCTAACAATGTTCTTATCACATCTATGAAAATCAATAGAAATACAAGAATAATTAGTGACCTTTTTAACATTCTCTTATGCGATGTACTAACCCAAAAGATGAGTTTAAACAGCTTGATAAAGCAAAGATGAGAAGTCGTCTTATGTTAGATGAAAGCAGTATGTCTGCAGGTGAACCACAGGGCTTAACCACACATTAGACTTGACAGCCTCCTCTTCATAAGCAGAGCCGGACAGAGTCTTTGTGGTTATGAGACATGAAAGTGCACTCCCTGCACTAGGACAGGCTAATGAGATAGCTACAAGGTTTCCTTCCTTCTCCTCCCAATAATGTTAAATTATATAATAACATTTAATCTGTAAGGTTATACTGAGAATTATTTACATCAGATGCCCCAGAAGTGGGAAAGAATTGTACTGAATTGCATTTTACTTGTGCATTTCCTACAAATTCTAGCAGTTGGCATTCAGATAGATAAGATCTGTATCCCTAAGAGCATTGGAACAGGCTGCCCAGGGAGGTGGTGGAGTCGCCATCTCTGGAAGTGTTCAAGAAACATGTGGATGTGGCGCTTCAGGACATGGTCTAGGGGACATGGTGGCGCTGGATTAATGGTTGGACTTGATGATCTTGAAGGTCCTTTCCAACCTAGTGTTTCTGTGATTCTGTGAACAGAGCCATGGCTATCAGTTCAGTAATGCTTTATTCTGCCAGGCTAAGAGGCAGACTCAACATGCTTGTTTTTCCATCTTCCTAAGACAGCAGGGCTTCTTAGCAGAAGAGAGCAAGTCAGAAATAGTTTATGTAAGGTCCCAAAGCAGTGCCTAGGAACAGACAGCTTTGGGTTGCTGGGTTTGGTTCGTTGGCTGGGTTGGGGTGGGGAAAGGGTTGTTGGGTTTTGTTGTTTTGGGTTTGTTGGTTGCTGGGTTTTGTTTGTTTGTTGGTGGTTTGGGTTTGTTTTGGGGGGGGGGGGGGGGGGGGCGGTGTCAGGGGAAGCAGGGAAGGATTTGAAATAAGTTAAAATATTAGAATCTAAAATTACAATTGTCTTTTAGATTATATTCTGCCCTATTCTGCAGAGTCCTGCAATTTTTCTGATTTGAGATGCCATTCCAGCAGGTCCTAGTGCTGCTAACTGCCTTGCTGCCCATTATATAATAATTGCCTGGAAAAGCTTGGAACACCTTTGTGCTCCCAGGTGCATATTTTTCTGAAGAACTGATGACTTAAAAAAACTGATATTGAAAGGCAAAATGACTAGCAAAGGGCAGGAAGAAGGAAGGCTGTAACTCGTTCCCTCTAAGCTTTGTATACTACACTTGCCCATCATTTCTCCCACTGCTTTTTCTCGTGTAACTGGCTAAAACCTTATGTCACAAGGAAGCAAATCCAGATCAAGCACCATGCTGTGAAAAAAAAAAAAGTGAAAAAGGCAAAAAGCCTATTTATGTCACAAAAGCAAAAAGATGCAGTGATTAAGTAAATACAAGAAGTAGGTCAGTTAGTAAAAAGGGAAACAAACAGCACTCACAGGGTGTGTTTTTTCCACATTATGTATCAATTGCAGAAGCTCCAAGAGAAAAAGTAACTGCAGATAGAAGGCACTCAATCTTGGGTCCAATGCATAAGAAAAATCAAGGTCTCAAAGTCTATGACAAACCACTGAAGTGCATTCTGATAAACTCTACCTTAACACGTTTTAAAAAACTCCTACATCTAAACCAGCATGTTTGGAACCTCTGATAAATGAGGCCATCTGTAATCAAGCTTTAGACAGCAGAAAATGATGGGAACTAAGTACAGCAGAACAAATATTTTTCTTTAGGTGTCCACCAGAGGTCTCAATTTCACTTATAATTGTGAAATATAATTCTCACTAGAAATGTCCTTTATGAACAGATGTCCCAAATACAAATGCTGAAAGAAAAGAATTTGGGGACTTCAATTACATGTCCTGCTACATATACAGTTCAAATATATAACCTCACATCTAGGAATTAAAATGATCCATAAATAAATCTGTTGAAGCTCTCTTACTTTAATTTCAACTTGTTCTTCCATTTCTTTTGTCTTTATTGTAGTGTATTCCTTTTCTAGCCTAAAAAGTAGAAACAGTAAATTATGATCAGAAAAATTGTGGATAACTTACCTGTTGGTATAACAGCTAACAAACAGCAGTAGAAGAGAGATACAAATTATTGCTATTGCCTCTGTTTAAGTGGCCACTTGAAATGCACTCCTGTAAATACTTGGGCTGGACATTAAAACTACGTTTAAACACAAGGACTTCTGTAGATATGAGCAGACTCTGAACCAGCACTCCAAAGTGCAGGTGTCTGCTTGTGTATATTTACAGTAGCAATGATTTGGAGCTACTCTGTAACCACTCAGTGTAATTATACAATAATCAATTCAATTGATTCAGCCAAAAGAAAAAAGGCTTGGAACACCTGGAAGACAGAAAGATGCAAAGAGATTTCAGACAAGTATCTTAAACATATAAAACAAATTGACCCCTCTCCAGCAAACCACAAAATTGTCCTGACTGAAAAAGGTGGCACCAAGAAAAAGCAGAGATAAACAATGCCTCTACAGACTGCAACCAAGGAAGTTTAGAGTCAGAATGGCAGGATTTTAGACTACACAGACTTATACTGGCTTTCAGAGAAAATGTTTTTCCTGAAAGCTTTGTTACTACTTCTGTTTTAAAGAAGATTGCTCGCTCCACAGCACTGATCATCAGCCACTGACAGAAGGACTGGCAAATTCAACTTGAAAGACCCTAGCACAAACTGCAGTGCAAGAACAGTCAACGTACAATATATTACAACCAACTGGAGAATTGCCAAAACTTAACCCTGGAAAAGTACCATATGTGCAGCTTGGCTTATCAAAACATAATTTACCAAAGGCAGAAAAAAGAAGACATGCAACTAACCTTAAAAAAAAAAAAAAAAAGTAGTATTATGCTCAGGATTTCAAACCCCAAATGCAAGTTATTTTACAATTATCAATGGTGTTACAAAGTTTCATCAATTTATATTTTAAACAGCACTAATCTTGCCCATACATGCACTCTTTAGTGCTGTGAATACTTTTGCAGCTCCTGAGAACTAAAGTCTTAAGAATTTAGGCCAGATCATAAAGTTTAA